TTTAAGTTAGGGTAAGATTAGGTGAGTGCATAGGTTAGGGTTAGGGTGTGCGCCTAGGTTAGAGTTAGGGTATAGGTAATTTTATATAGTAAAATTGCTCAACAAACACTTTTTTTGATTGTCAGGATTTGTTGGGATTTTTGATTGTTGGGATTTTTTTGTTGGGATTATGACCTGTCAGGATTTTGTTTGTCGGGATTTGACCCAAACCTCATTTTCTCTTGGCAGCACTCATATAGTAATTCTTCGTGTGATTAGGTTATTTTGAAATTCATTTGCCAATCCAGACCCTATCAAAATGTTATTTCTAAAATTTTACGAATTCTGCAATATGAAATACACCTACCTATAAAAATCAATTTATTAATTAACAATCAAATTCTATAGAAGATTTGTTATAGAACAATGTCAACAAACGAATTTATTAAAAGAGCTTTTAAATAGTTAATTATGTTAACAATTCCCTAACAAAAATAAAAAAAGCCTTCATATGGGCAGAGTGCTACAGTAAAGAGAGAAATCGACAAATTTTAAAAACTTTTTTTAATACGAAACAATTCATTTTTATTCAAAACACAAAAGCAGTTAAATTAATAAGATTTTGTAATATAACTCTTTAAAGTTTATATTTTCTTTAGCTGCCCGATACAAAAGTATCGGAGCAGCTTCTTGTCCCGAATCGATCATGGGGTATATTAAGGGATTGGGTAATGCATGATTTATCAATTGATTTATGCAAATGATTTATCATATGATTTTGTAGTCTTTTGCATTGTTATGATTTATTGTATGATTCATGTAATTTTTGCGATTAGTAATTATATATGTGGTAATTTTGAAAAAAATTTTAGCTACTATTAAAACATCATAATAGAACTTAGTATTTTTGAGATAAATACAGTAAGGCAAATAAATTCTAATACATTGTTTAATCTTATGATAAATAGGTTTCAGATTATATTATTATATTCAAATTTATTCAAAGGTTCAAAATAGCATGTGAAAGATAATTTGGTACATATTGGGCAGTGTTATTTTGAGTTAAATATATTATTTTTTAAAAAAAAAAAATTGAAATTTTGAAATACGCGCTTATACGGTACGATTTATTATAAAATTATATCATAAAAATTGAACATCCAAAGATCTTTTGTTTTGCTGATTTTCCTTTCCTGTAGCATCTAGCCTATATGATTTAAAAGCATATTTTGTGAAAGTTCTTAATATTCCTAATAAATAATGCTCAGTGTTATTAATTACATATACAGTAATCATCCTTTATTGATCTATATCTCTAATAAAGTCTACATAATCTCTAATAAACCTAGCTCTCTAACTATTATACTGCTATAGATATGAAATAATTAAACGGATTACCAAATCTGATTGTCATATATAGATTATTTCTGTCCAAAATTCTTACATTCATTATATGCATTTAATAGTTTCTTTCTTTATAGCAATATCTTTTAGTTATTTATATCTTTATAGCAATATCCTTCTTTAGTTATTTGTATTTTTATCAGTACACTATATTACTACCTTCATTATTACTCTGTAGGTCTCTAAGTTCTAAGCAGAAAATTTTGTTTATCCTTTATTTTAAAAAATAAAAAATAAAATAAAACTATGCTAGTTTTTATGTATGTTAATGAATAAAATCACAGATAACTATAAATTGCATTTAAGTTTTATTATTTTTTAATATTTTGCTGAATTATCATTTTGATTAATACAATTCATTATGTGTAAAGAATCACACTATAGTTTTATTACAAAATATTCACTATAATATCTTCAGAGTTTTGTTAAGAATTTCTAATTTAGTTTATTGTCAGGATCAATTTTCTAATAATTTTAGTTAAATCTCTACATCTTCATATCTGCACATTTTATAATAAGTTTCATCTTGTTTCTAATGCTATATTGTTATTTGGATTAATTCTCTTAACATACTTAAGATATAGAAATTATTATTACCAAATTAGATATTAATGTAGAATAAACTTATTTACATTCAATCCACTGATTGTTTTCTTTAGTATAAACATAACTCAGTATACAAGCTTCCTTTCCTTTAAAAGTGATTTTGCATTCAACCAACTTAGTTGATCTTTCAGAGATGTTTGTATTATATCTTTTATCCAATATCTGCATTAATCTATCTTTTATGCAATCTTTTAAATTGTCATAATTGTTTTTATGTTTTTTTAAAATTTTGAACTCCATTATCACAGAGGTTTCAAAATCTACTTGTGATTCAGGGTCAATCCTTAAGTCAAATCATCTGAGTCCTTCTTCCTTGTTTGATTTCAGTTTATATTCTCAGAATTGAGCTTGTAAAAGTAATCCTATTATGAACATATGATAGCTATTTTTTGACTGATTATTTTGAATATTGTAGAATGAAAGCATTTTAATTATCATGTTCTGTAGAAATGTTTCAAACTTATTCATGTCATTTCTAAGTAACATGTCTAGTATTGTGTCAACAGAATATGCAATCTGATGTCCTTCTTTTAGTAAATCATATAATTTTAATTTAGTCTTCTTGTTCAAAACAAGGGAATTTTTATTGTTTAAGGAACCCAGAGTAATAAAGGAATGTCCAAAATATATAATAAGGTTGCAGTAATACTATTTCATAATCAATAGTATCCATAATCACAGTCCCATAGTTATATAATCAATGTGCAATTTTTTTATTATTCACTAGATAAACATAACATTAATTTTTTTATTATGTCGTATCCTATTCCTATTACTGTATAGTTCTGAAAATAAGCACCCCCAAAAATAAGCACCCTTGGCCTGCACTATGCCAATTTTGGGCCACATTATAATGATCTCGACCAGCATTACAAGCAAAAAAGGGTGCTTATTTTCGGAACTATATGGTATGTTTTAAAAGAAATCATAATTTTAATACTCTAACAATTACTAGTTAATTCTATCACTCAAACAATGTAAGCTTATCTGTATTAAAAATCTTTTTATTTACAAAATAATTTATCAATAAATATGGATGCTATTACCAGCTTTATATCTGCTATATTATTTCTTTATTTTCTTATGATAATCTAAATTGTGGCAACAAGCAATAACAGAAATCTCATTTTGGTATATCCAAACTTATCTGCAAACTTTTTTTCATGCATTAGAAAAAAATTTGTATCATTAAAATCTAATTTTGATATTGGATATATACCAATGAGGAGTGCTTTTGATGTTTATGTTATCCTACATGGATGAATAGTTTTTAATTTATTATTTATAAATCAATAAAGTTTAAAACAAATAGAAAAAAAAAACTACCTTAAGCACTATTCTAAGAATAGTTGCAAAAAACTTATAAGCTTTCTTATAAAAATTATTAATGAATGCAACATTTAATAGATGATCATAATCATCAATTAATATAATACATTTTTTGGCATGATAGTCTTTTAACTGCTTAGACAAATTGTATAAGGAATATACAATAAGATTTTTCAAAGTGTGTTGATCCTTTGATAGAATTCTATTATATCTATTTTTGTCATATTTCAAAAGCTTGGTGTTCTCTGTAAAGTCTTGATAACTCCTCATGTAATCTTGCTTCTATGCATTTCCAACTATTGCAGCTATTATAATTCTATTAAAGAATAGATTAACACTACTTACAGTATAATAATGGGTATTTACAAAAACTAACATGCATACCTTAAAAGTGATGTGAATAACTGGGTGTTTGCAGAAATGGTTTTGTATAATTTCTGAATTCTCCATAACCTTAGTCTCCTTAAATAGTGCTCTTTGATAACCAAGGTTATCTGGTAAGTTAGGCACTGAAAAGAAACACTTCAACATAGTTATGTTTGTAGTTTTGCTGAATTTTTCTGGATGAGAAATTATCAACACAGTATTATTATTTTTGATAAATTCAGATATTAATAAAGTTTTATCTATTAAAGTAAATCCTCCAGATATAATTTGTTCAAAGCTTGCAACACCAATAGGCATATTTTTCGAAGCAAATAAGTGATGGTGTCAACTATAAAATAGAATTTGAAAATTATTTGTGGAGGCCCTATCCAACCACCTATTGGAGATCTTTCAAATCACTGGTAAAGGTAAATCTTCTAATTCGTCGTTTGTAAGTTTTTTGAGGAGAGCATCTTTGTATCCCACTCTTTCTTTGCTTCGCTTGTCATAGAAATAGTGTATTGTTAGCTATTTACTTATGTGCCCCACCACGCACATAAGAGTCGCAACCATCCATAACTTTTATTATGTGTTTGTCACGTCCTTTTATCAGTAAAAGGTTCCTTATATACTTAATATTCGATCTAAAATTAATTGCATCATAATCAATCATCCGATAATTATCTTTTACTTCAATTACATCATTAATCAATCATCCGATACCTTATCTTTGTTAATCCCATATTTCCTATGCGCTCTGATCGATCCTTGATTGATCGGTTACACGCATTAAACCATCTACGTACTATCAAACCCGAATCATGCCTTATTATGATGTCGTAGATCCCGTTGCACAATTCCCGGATCAATTTTGCCGTAGAACCGATTTTGGCCGTGACAATTATTTCTATTTTATTAACGCAAATATTAATTTTAGACGAAATTACATAATTAAGAGAGGATCACTGTTGGATTAGTCATGGAACCGCGTCATTCCATTCACGAAGATTTACACAGCCGGAAATATTTTGTAAACTCGTTCGCATAACACGTATATATTACTGATCTTGGACTTTCTAAAAAAGTGAAGGCAAACTCTACCGTATATACACCTGAGATTTTGGTGGGTGAACCATAGAATATACTCAAGCATCAGATATTTACGGTCTTGGAGCTATTGCGACTGAGATTTTAATCGGCCAAAGAGCATTTGATGGAATTCCATTTAACGGTGATCTTGTATCAAGAATTATTGGTGGATCAAGACTTAGGGCCCGATTGTTATATTTAATTAGTTATTATTCGAGATAATTACTCGTTGGTTAGATAAAATGGATTGGAAGGCACACCACGTTGACTTTTTTTTTTGATCTAATTAGCAATACTCTTGGATTAGAAGGCGATACATCAATACATACGACAATTCATACCGTATGTGTCATCCTTCTAGTCTGCAGGTTTTTTTTTTCTTTTAGTTACGATACAATTAACGATAATTCTAACTAATTCACATACAATGTATGTGTGTTAACTCTATAGGTGGTAAGAAAGCATTGGCAATAAGAATACTACGCCGACTTTTTTGGATTCAATCTTTGATCAGAATGAGGAAAACATTAGTGGATGCACTTTGCGAAAACACCACACTGACTGACTTTTTTTTAGACCTAAGTGGCAATATTTTTGGATTGGAAGGCACGATATATCATAGGAGGATATTCGTCTGATTGGCTGATGTAAATCAATTGCCCCGGGTAACTTATTCATACACTTTAAAGTACTTTTTACAACGTTTCACTAACAAAAAAACACCGCAAAAGCCATTTTTCGCTTCTATAGAACGTCTATATTCACTATGCAAAAATAATAAGTAATAAACAGTATCCCCACGAACTTAGAAGGCAAAATATCTAAAACTTATTTTATTACGTTAGATTTAAATAAACTTTTATTTCTATCTGTTTAATTTGAATAGGTACAAGCTCTTTAACAAGAAGACCCGGGCTTAATATTAAATTTGGTCGGTTCTTGTAGTGTATTTGAGCTTGTCAACCGTAAATTAATGAAGTTTTTAATTTATATCTTATATGGTAGATTCTTTAATAATTTGGATTTATTAGTAATAAATATCTTATTTACCCACTTTACGCGTATCTATCTATTCTTTACATATTAATAATAAATTCTTTCGCATATATTTATTAGTTAGTAAGCTTCTTTATAAGAAGTTTCTTTCGTTTTCTAATAGCGTAGTATTAATTAAAAATTATGTATTTGATTGGCTAATTATCACGGGAATCACGAGTAGACCTAATTATATGAATGTCGTCCCAAAAAAAATTTGGCATGCATTTTGATAAAATTTGTGCCATGGCATGCCATAAAATATTATAAATATCATAATACCATATACCAGTGGCATGCCAAATTTGCATAGAGAAACCAGTTTCACAACAAAAACTGAGAGTTGTTTTTGGCATGCCACCATTGGTTTGCCATTATGCCTCTAGGAGGAACCGTTGATGTTACACAACTGATTTTACACACGGTGTGAAACACATAAAAAAATTATTTTACAATACTTGATCGGACTTGATCAGTCAGCTAGTACATGTTATTAGGGTGTCTAATATCGGTTTAATCACAAACATAGTGCAAACTACATAGTGAAGATCATTAATGAATTTTTTTTCCAGTGATTTTCCGACTTACAATTAGATCTTCCGATTTCACTTTTTCCTATTAAAATTATTATAAAAAAGTGATATCGGTCAAATTTTTATTTCTCTTGAAATATTTAATATTTTCAAATTCTGTAAACTGTTTATGCTTTATGAAACATATATTCAAAAAGCAACAGCATTATATTTTACATATGATATATAAAAAATCATAATGATTAGAATTTTATAGTTACTTATATGAGGATCATTTACTGGTTACATGAAGATCATTTACCGATTTTAATTTGGTGACCATAATATTCCATAAGCTAAGTGTAAAATCCTAATCTTTATAATTTTTTATATATAATATGTAAAATGTAACATTGTTGCTCTTTGAATGTATGCTTCATAAATCATAAACAGTTTACAGAATTTGAAAATATTAAATATTTCAAGAGAAATAAAAATTTGACCGATATCACTTTTTTATAATAATTTTAATAGGAAAAAGTGAAATCGGAAGATCTAATTGTAAGTCGGAAAATCACTGGAAAAAAAATTCATTAATGATCTTCACTATGTAGTTTGCACTATGTTTGTGATTAAACCGATATTAGACACCCTAATAACATGTACTAGCTGACTGATCAAGTCCGATCAAGTATTGTAAAATAATTTTTTTATGTGTTTCACACCGTGTGTAAAATCAGTTGTGTAACATCAACGGTTCCTCCTGTTTAGTTTCTTACGTTACTGATTTTGGCTAATGTAAGCCAATGTCACAAGTTCTAACTATATTGCACCAAAAGTATTGTATACAAATGAAAAGGAATACACACTCAAAAGATCAAATATTTATTCTTTCGGAATAATTATGTCAGATGGTTTTCCTGGATATCCTCCATATCATGATATTCCACACAACGAAGGCCTACCAACATGTATTTGTCTAGGTTATAGGCCTGAAATTAGATGCGAAGTTCCTAAATTACTTTGGATCTGATAAATAAATGCTTAGACGCAGAATTTCAAAATTGACCAACTGATGAAGAATTAGCTAATACGCTGTATCGATATTTAATGATTTGAAATATGAAAGAAGTGATATATATAAACAAGTTAAAAATATTAAAGACTTAGACAAAAATTTCTTAACATATAATCAAGTCAAATCGGCACAATTAAAATTTCAGACACATCCACAAGCTATTTATACAAGTCGATTTTTGATCTTTCAAAACTCCCTAAACCAGGTATCATATTTTTTAAAAGTTAGTAATATGTTATTAATTGCAAAAATTTCTGAATCTGTCAATATAGTAAATGCAGGTAATGACATTTATTTTTTTTAAACGTTGAAATTCTCGACGGTAAGTAATATTTGATTTTGATTTATTTATAATTAAATAAATTTATTGCTTATTTTTATATTGGTATTTTAGATTATTAAATCAAGTAAAAGAAAGTTATTAAATTGGGAGCATTCTATTTATTATTACCATGATATCTTCATGACCTAAGAGAAAAAAGATATAAACTAATTTCGCTGACAACTGTTTTGTTCATAAAGTCGGCCCGATTTAAGTTAGAATTGGTCTAATTTATAGTTAGTCCTGTCTAGATGTAGATTGTTGGCGAAATGGTGATTGGAAAGTTATAAAAATTATGGAACTTCTATAGTATAGGTGGGTAAATAAAATTATAAAAATTATAATATATAAAATCCACCTATTTTGATTTAATTTCATAAATTTTGCTTACCGTATTTTCGCGTAATAACGCTCATGAGCGTTGTTTCGAATAATGGCCCGAATTAAGCTTAACCTTGGCCAAAAATTGAAATTACACCCCTGCGCGTTATTACACGAAAATACAGTAAATTAGCTAATTTTTATATGAGAATTTCTATTTGTACCCGGTGGGTATGATACCCGGTATAAGAAAAAAGTCAAAAATCAGTAATATCTCAAAATTTTATTAAGAAACCATATATAGGTACCTTAAGTAAAATTGTTCAGCATCTAATTTTACATATAATTACACATGTTTTTAAATCTAACCCTAACCTTAATATATTTATAGAATACTATATAAACATTATACCGGGTATCATACCCTCTGGGTACGAGTATTAAATTTCTTTTTATATACAGTATTATAATTTTATAAAATTCTATATTCCAACCTATACTATAAATCAACAAAATTACTAAATTTAACCGAATATTGAAATAACAAATACGGTCAACGCTTTCTATAATGAACTGGTAGTCTGGAAGAAAAAAAAGTTCATTATAGAAAATTACTATTTTTTTTGAAGAAACCATACCTCTTTCTATGTTCTTTTTATATCGTACCATTCTAAATTTTTGATTTTTTATATCCAGAGTTCATTGTAGAGAAGTTCGTTATATCCAGAGCTACAGGGGCGACCGTCCTCGTTATACAAATTACGAAAATCTCCGATCAGGTGATAACCAATCAAAAGCGTGAATTTTC